ATGGCAGCCGCGTTTTTTCGCTAAAAAAACCCTGTATCTGTGATTGTAAAGGCAATTCAATTCAATTCAATTTATTATACTCGTCACGTAAAAAAAACCGTAAAAATTGATTTCCAGTGTGCATTATACATGTACAATAAGACCACAGTATACGAAAGGGGTACGTACATTTAATACAAATCTTTGCTAAATAACGCAACGTTTAAACGTTATGTTTGAAAGGATTGATTCTTCAAAATCACCTTAACATTTTAAAAATGGCGTCGGCACGTTAAACAGATAAACTGTAGCCCTAATTATAATGTGCCATATTTTGGCACATTTAAATTACACAATTCCAGGGGTTACGATCGCGAAAGGCATGATGGGAAACAACATGGAGCAGCAAGAACTTACCCACGGGGCACGAGGTTGACTGCATGCAGCTACGCGATGTCGCGCACCGATCCGATGAATGACAGTATAACAGCCACGCGCGCTTTTGCGTCGTGTATCGCTTGCGTGCGCTTCGCCGAATTAGAAACGTGCTTCTGAAGACGCACTGTTGGAAAAGGCTTTTTTTCGTTGATTTCTTCAAAATGACAGCTTGCCAGAAAGAGTATACACAGGCAGTTTAGTTCCCTTACTATCTTTCAACCAAGTATGTTTTTGAACAAGAATTACGCCAGCTACTTTTGGGATACCTGCAATGATGGACTCTGGCTTTAATAAAAAAGCTGTTCATGTTTTACCCTCTGCATGTTTTTTCTCACAAAAACTCAGTAGACCAATAAATCCTAGCCTAGCCCCAAACTTGCCATCAACCGATCATAAACATAAAGGTGCATTGGTCTTTTAGTCTTTTATATTTGACATTCCCAGTTTATATTTGACATTCCCATTCCCCAACAAGCAAATAACATTGCAAATATATCGAGAGCTACATGTAAAGTTAGAACTGTGTGAATACTTTTATGAATAGAAATTCATCCGCTTCCAGTGGAACCATTTGTTGTTTTAATTTTAACCAATTGTCCTTTCGGGCTTTGTAAGTTTTAGTTTACAGTATATTTCATCCCAAGCATCCAAAATCCAACATTTTCCGGGCCTTAAATAAAGCGGGCCCCTTCGCTCGTACCCGAACCCCAGGGCCCTGCAAACAGGGCGCTGGGAAGGGCGGATGTATGGTGGCTTTAAAGGGGCATCGCACATATATATTGACGCCCGGTATTAACGTCAATATCACGATGTCGCAATGTCGCAAATCTTTGCGCCAATATTCACGCCAATATTCACAACTTGGACCAATTAAGTCGCAAATATTGACGCCATTATTGACGCCAATATTCACGACATGGTCTTCAAGTCGCAAATATTACGCCAAAGGTTGACGCCAATATTCACCACATGTCCTCCATGGCGCAAATATTGACACCAATATTCACCACATGGCCCGAGTCGGAAACCCACTCAGGCGTAAATATTGTTCTTTTTTTAGCAACCTAGGTAGCAATTCAAGCAACTTGTCTGGCGCACCCTACTATACATACAGTACACACGTTTACATAATATTGTGTTTGTGTTAGCGCGAACTTCCTTCGCTGCAAGGACACAGACGTCCAATCAGTGTGACCGTAAGGTCAGAGCCAAATTCTGCTAAATGCACATAAAAAATCTGTCAGATTTATCAAAAATCTGCCAAATTCCCCAGAATTACTCGAAATCAGTGGCGTAGCCAGACATTTTTCAGTGAGGGGGGGGGGGGCCGCTGGGAGGGGGCTGGAACATTTCATGGGGGGCGTCAAGCAGGGGCGTCAATCGCTTCTCAAAAAGTGGGGGGGGGGCATACCTTGATCATAACTGATGCAAGCGCGAAGCCCTTACGGTGTGGGGTTCGTGGCCCGCTTAAGGGCCCCGAAAAAAATTGGATTCTAGATGTTCTCTGGTGTGATTTGAAGCAATTTCTTACGACTTTTCTCCATGCTTTAACTAATATTTTCTTGGCAAAAGATAATTATTTGAACATCGTTTTCGAGGTTGGAGACATTGAATCAGCTATCGGTATTCTGAGCTAATGGCGTGGAGTTCGGGGCCCGCTTAAGGGCCCCGGAAAAAATTGGATTTTCGATGCTCTGTGGTGTGATCTGAGGCAATTTCTTACCACTTTAACCAATAATTATCTTAGCACAAAAGATAATAATTTTAACATAATTTTCGAGGTTTTCTCAGCTAAAGGCATAAGAAAATTTTGTGAACATTGTTTTCGAGGTTGGAGTCATTGAATCAGCTACCAGAATTCTGAGCTATAGGCGTGGGGTTCGGATTCTAAATGTTCTGTGGTGCTATCTGAGGCAATTTCTGACCACTTTAATCAATATTTTCTAAGCAAAAGATACATTGTAGTACATAATAGGGTCCATGGCGTCATGTAGATCAACGATAATTTTTTTAGAAACTCAAAATCTCAGTGGGGGGCGAGTTGGGGGGCGACAAGGTTTCATGGGGGGCGGTCGCCCCCGGCCCCCCCCCCCCCCCCGGTGGCTACGCCACTGCTCGAAATACACTGTAAACACTTAAAATCACATGTTGATTGGTAGTATTACCTTAATTAAGGTTCAACTCACATTATAAACAATCTTTAGTCACATAAAGACGTTATGAAATTATACCGCAAATTGTAGGCAAAACGCGGATCCGGCCACGACGACATTTCCCAGTGAACTTCAGCACCTAGACCCAGAGTTGTAACGAGTCACTGCCTGTTTGTGATTCGAGTTGAGTCACGTCATTTTAAAAAAGGACTCGATTCGAGTCGAGTAATTTTAAAAGAAGTGACTCGAATCGAGTCGAGTCATTAGGTCAAAAGGTCGAGTCGAGTCGAGTCGAGTCAAATATATAATTCGAGTCACGATTATTCGAAAACTATAATGTATACCAAAATTTATATAAGGAGGCCATAACTTTAGCGAGCGTTCAAATCCAAAATCTTTATAAGAAATCGCCCAAAACCAATGATGAAACAGGGAATTAGAAAATGTGTTTACAAATCTGATTCCCAGATAGTATTTTGTGCGTTTTAGAACCATGAGGTGGGAGTCTGTGACACTTGTATATTTGTACATGACTGCTATTCGCAAAGTAATATGAGCATAAATTTTGCACCGTAAGTCGATGCAAATACTTTTCGCAAAGTTGCGCTTTTTATTTACCCTTAGGGACTCAAGTGGAGTCGAGTCACCAAAAAATTGTGACTCGAGTCTGACTCAAGCCGAGTCATTGGCTCGAGTCATTACAACTCTGCCTAGACCATCCAACCTGTCCCATTATGCCAGGGTTTGTTTGAAAGGTTTGAATTTTTTAAAACAAATATGTACCATTTTTTGTTCAAATCTACTGCTCAATAATTTGCTGTTCAGTTTTTGTTCAAATTTGCTGTTCTCATCAAATCAAATTTACAACCATTTTTCTGTCAATTCTGTCAAAGTTTGCCGAAAATCGGCTAAAACGGTCACCTTGCGTCCAATGTACATGTACATTCATGGCTCGCGCTGCGCCTCACGACGAACGTTCGTTCAGCTAGAGATAGGTGACAACTTGGGCCTGTATTGGCGTCAATATTTGCGACTTGGAGACCACGCGTGAATATTGGCGTCAATATTGGCGTCAATATTTGCGACTTGGGTCCATGTCGGATTACTAATTCGTTATTACGGATTACTAATTCGTTATTACGGATTATTAATTCGTTATTACGGATTAAATAATCCGTTATAACGAATTAGTAATCCGTAATAACGAATTAAATAATCCGTTATAACGAATTAGTAATCCGTAATAACGAATTAAATAATCCCTAATAACGAATTAATAATCCGTAATAACGAATTAAATAATCCGTAATAACGAATTAATAATCCGTTATAACGAATTAGTAATCCGTAATAACGAATTAAATAATCCGTAATAACGAATTAATAATCCGTAATAACGAATTAGTAATCCGTAATAACGAATTAATAATCCGTAATAACGAATTAGTAATCCGTTATAACGAATTAAATAATCCGTTATAACGAATTAGTAATCCGTAATAACGAATTAATAATCCGTAATAACGAATTAGTAATCCGTAATAACGAATTAAATAATCCGTAATAACGAATTAATAATCCGTTATAACGAATTAATAATCCGTAATAACGAATTAAATAATCCGTTATAACGAATTAGTAATCCGTAATAACGAATTAAATAATCCGTTATAACGAATTAGTAATCCGTAATAACGAATTAAATAATCCGTAATAACGAATTAATAATCCGTTATAACGAATTAATAATCCGTAATAACGAATTAAATAATCCGTTATAACGAATTAGTAATCCGTAATAACGAATTAAATAATCCGTTATAACGAATTAGTAATCCGTAATAACGAATTAAATAATCCCTAATAACGAATTAATAATCCGTAATAACGAATTAATAATCCGTAATAACGAATTAAATAATCCGTTATAACGAATTAGTAATCCGTAATAACGAATTAAATAATCCGTTATAACGAATTAGTAATCCGTAATAACGAATTAAATAATCCCTAATAACGAATTAATAATCCGTAATAACGAATAATAAAATTATAATAAAATTGGCAGAACTGATACGCACAGTTTTCCGATGGGAATCTGTTTTTGCTTTATTATGTACGCCACGGACGCGAACTTCTCTAAAACCATGAGAAGAAAATATGAGTAGGGGGAAAATGAATTCGAACGAAATAAAATTCGGACATCATTTCCCTTTTTTAAAAAAATCCTCCGAAGCCTAGAGAAAGAAAAAACAATTTGTGCACAAATCTGTTCGAACCCACAACCTCGCGGTGCAAAATATCAACCCCTATCAACTGAGCTATCGCACTGCTTTGCCCGAACTCTGGGGAAAAAAATTATATACCTGCGTGTGTATCATAAAATTATCGTAGAGGGCGCTAAACAAGCCCGGGCACGTTGTAAAAAGAGTCAGCCAACAGAGGGCGCTGATTTGTTCTTTCATTTTCTCGTGGCGCACGTGGGAAGGTCGATGTCTCCGTTGTGCAGCAGGTAAAGGCCTTAAATTTGTAAATGCCGATTCTTTTCATTCTGGAATGCATTTTAGTGGGAAACAGCATTCTGTGTAGGATAGCCCTTATTGACTATTAGTGGAACCAAAATGATGTATTCAGAACCATAAGTCCACGACTATGGAGAATCATTCACGTTTGTTTCACTTGCATCCAGTTCATCAAACATGTGCGTACACGCATACTGTACTGACTGCGTTGGGGACCATGCATGTTGCATGTGCACATCGCATCACACATAGGCGCGACGCGTGCGCATTATCATCGGGTACAAATCCCGTCAACACACCATCAATACTTCACATTCTAATTTGGCAAATGTGATATACTGGAGGTGTTGACGTTGTGTTGACGGTGTGTTGACATGGTTGACGTCAGGGGCGTAAATCCAGGAGGGGGGGGGGGGCTAATCCTATTTTGAATGAAACACCATGCACGCAGACCACAGACCATGTGGATGTCCGCGGGCGAAATCTTTAAAAATCAATTTCTCCTCCCGTTTGGAAGACCCGCACTGTATCTTCGTGCAACTTTCAGTGTTTGTTTCCCTTAAAATGATTCAACTATGAGCTAAAATCGTTTGATATGTTAAGTACATGATAAGCACTGATAACATTTGCAGTATCGCCTCATTTAAATAAATATCACCCTTTTTGCCGGCTTTCATTGGTCGATACCGAGACCCATGAGAAGTCACGCCGAGTGACGCTCATGAATATGCTAATATAAATATGCACTTCGTCATTGTTGCCCGGGCCAAAATCGGCCAACCTAAAAATCAAGCGCGTGAGTTTGGACGGCAAAAAAATCCTCGTCACAATTTTGCTTCGAGGTAAGTTCATGGTGTAACATAAGAGTTTGCAAAAAAAAAAAAGATTTATAGCCCCATCTGAAATTCGGAACATACTCTGATGATATAGGTGTTCAACTACTCGTGAAATAAGAAGTCGGGGGATTCCTAGAAATTGACATAAATACATAGATTTGGGGAAGTTTTAGAGCGATTTCTTCCGGACTTTAAGGTCAGCTTTACTAGTACGTTTCGGCATCGATGACGGCGACTTTTTCATTGGCATGAAGTTAAGAATTTCTTCTTCCATTATAATTTGACATTTCAATCATAATACTGAGCATATTTTCTGAGAAACACAACGTTCAAATAGCCATGTTTGTTTGGTTGGTGCATGAATTTCACTGCTCGGTTATATTGTCCAAGTACGTAATCGGATTAACTTAAGACCTTGGCAGCCACACGGCTTCACTAGTGCTGCTGAAATATTTCGCTGCGCTGTATCCTAGAGCGACACTGCACGTTAAGAAAAGCTAGCTGACTTTTATCAAGCTTCTTGCGCTTGCGACAGTATAGAGTTTTGAGCTATTGGTTGCATTCTGTGATCAGCTTTTCTAATCCGAATTGTCATTCCAGGCAGAAACCTCAATGTTACAGCTAAAGAACCACTAAAAACTTTTGCTAGAATTTTGGATATTTTGCTGTCGTATACTTTTCTATTCAATAAAATAATAAAAATGGTGAACCTGTACAGCGCTTTCCATCGTATCAATAATCTCAAAACGCTATACTACAAATACGCTATTCATCAGGCCACGAGACCAGGCGGCAGCTGATATCAGCGCACATTCGGTCCTCTACCTCACAAGCACCCATTCACATTCTTGGCAGGAGCGCCGAGGCAGTTGTTGTAGAGTATCTTGCCCAAGGGCACAAGTTCAAGTTTTGTATTTTGTTGTGTCGCACATGGAAATGCCATTGAGCGACCCTTTCTCAAAAACGTTTCAATCAGCAAATGTTTGAGTTCATGAACAGAAAACCCCTAAACTTAACACTGTTTTCCTCTCTTGATATAACATCAACAGCTTGTGATTTCAACACAGTCTCCAGGTGACAATCTTGACTGTGAACCCCTGTCTGGAATCTGAAGATTTGACATCAAGGAAAGACTCGATCCAGGAGTGTTATATAACATCCGGCCAGCCCCGGTGATTTCATAGTGTGAAGCATTCTGTGGCGAAAGACGTTTGCAGAATATTTAATCCACCATAAAGATACGTAAAAGCACTTCAGAAAAATGGACACAAAATTAGGACCGGAGGTGAATTGTCACCTAAGGGTGCACACGGATGAGAAACCATCAGTTTGTGTCACCTGTGGTAAAGCCTTTGCTCAGCAAGCTACTGGCATACTAAGCAGACTTGAGAAGATACACACGGGTGATAAACCATTTGTTTGTGAGACCTGTGGTACCGAAGCCTTCGCTGAACAAGGTGATCTACAGAAACTGGAGGGGACACAAACAGGTGAGAAACCATTTGTTTGTGCGACCTGTGGTAAAGCCTTTACTACACAAACAGATTTTCAACGACACCACAAGATTCACATCACCAATAAGAAACCATTTCTTTGTGAGACCTGTGGAAAAGCCTTTACTCAGCAAATTCATCTACGGAATCACAGCAGGGTACATTCGGATGAAAAACCATTTGTTTGTGATACCTGTGGGAAAGCCTTTAATTGGCAAACTGCTCTGCACAGACATCACAGGATACACACCGGTGAGAGATCATTCGTTTGTGAGACCTGTGGTAAAGCCTTTAATCAAAAAAGTACTCTGCATGAACATCGCAGGATACACACTGGTGAGAGACCATTCGTTTGTGAGACCTGTGGTAAAGCCTTTAATCAAAAACGTGTTCTGCATCAACATCGCAGGATACACACTGGTGAGAGACCATTCGTTTGTGAGACCTGTGGTAAAGCCTTTAATCAGCAAAGTGCTCTGCATCACCATCACAGAATACACACTGGCGAGAGACCATTCGTTTGTGAGACCTGTGGTAAAGCCTTTGTCCAACAAAGTCATCTCCATCAACATCAGAGGGTACACGCTGGTGAGAAACCATTCGTTTGTGAGACCTGTGGTAAAGCCTTCACCCAGCAGAATCATCTGCAGAAACACAACAGGACGCACACAGTTGAGAAACCATTCGTTGATGTGACCTGTGGTAAATCCCTTGCTCTGCAAAGTGTTCTGCGTGAACATCACACTGGCGAGAGACCATTCGTTTGTGAGACCTGTGGTAAAGCCTTTGTCCAACAAAGTCATCTCCATCAACATCACAGGGTACACACGGGTGAGAAACCATTTGTTTGTGAGACCTGTGGTAAAGCCTTTGTCCAACAAGGTAACCTCCATCTTCATCACAGGGTACATACTGGAGAGAGGCCATTTGTTTGTGAGACATGTGGAAAATCCTTTGCTCGGCAAAGTGTTCTGCGTGATCATCACAGGGTACACACTGGTGAGAGACCATTCGTTTGTGAGACCTGTGGTAAAGCCTTTGTCCAACAAGGTAACCTCCACCAACATCGCAGGATACACACGGGTAAGAAGCCATTCGTTTGTGAGACCTGTGGTAAAGCCTTTGTTCAGAAAAGTCAGCTGCGTAAACACTACAGGATTCACACTGGCAAGACTTAAGGCAATTGTGCTGTATAATTTTTCCTTCAATTGAAGATTTGTAAGGTGTTACGGGCCCAGTATATCGTGATTGTCCATGAAATTGTTACCTATGGTTTACTGCTACTTACTAGTGGTAGCAATATGCTCAGGTGGCGTACATCAAATTTCCAGAATTTCTTTTGGGACGCATATTTGCATCAATCGTAAATGGTAGTTATTTGTTAGCATTTTGTTTTGAAAAGTATGCAGTACATGTATTTTTGAGATTGCAATACACGTTTTATGTAACATTTTCCAAAGCATAACGTGACTTATGAGGAAATAATCATTCGTACCATTGTAGCCTAAACTTGTATGCATTTGTGTATTCCCAAATAGTCGTACCATCCTAGTAATTAAACAGCCCCCCCCCCCTTTCCCAAAGGGGAAAACCCGAGGTGTGCGTAATGGTCTAAAACACACATTGATGTATATGGAATACCCAACGCTTGTTTGTGCTGCAATACTTTCACAAATGAATGGATTTGGGGATTGCGTTTTATAGCAGATATTGTTACAATGGCCCATTTACAGTTTTAAGGTCGTTCACAGATTCTGGGGGGGGGGGGGAAATAAGGAAAACTGCTGTTCATGTTGCCTGATTCCCTGATCCCACAATGGAGAAATTCATGGCCATTGTAATGTCAGGGTACCAATCTAGCTGGCTTAATTGCACCCGTTCACGGATGAGACCGATTGATAGTCTTTGAGAAAAAGCCAGTGTTTTTTTTTTCAAACGATAGTCAGTATACCAAGTGTTGGAAATTGATACACAATTTTTTTTTTTAATTTTCTTGTTGTTTCTTGAAAATAACTGCACTGGTGCCATGATTTTACAGGACCGTTGAGGCTGTCGTTCACAGTCCAGTAAGGTATTTCATAATATTTTGGTAGTTTTCGTATCTGCAAAATGTTATATGTTGCTTTTATGTAAGGAAATGTAAGTAGAATGGTAATTCAATATGTATTGATTTTGCGATGTATTAATTTTGCCAGGGGATTGATTACTCGGAAGAATTAGTTTCGTATTCCCGATTCCATAGTTATTCTTCCAGAGTGGTCTTAGGTAATTATTATTTGAACTCTGAAAAAAAAATTGCCTCAGTCGTTAGCATGGATGGATGTTGCTCAACGTATACGTTAGGATCAATACACCGTGGTTTTAGTTTTCAAAATTTGTATCCGTGGACTGGCTGCTATGGGGCTGTCCATAAAGTACTTACGCACAAAATGCCGATTTTTGTTTTTAGCCCCTTCGGTAGTTCAACCCGCCCCCCCCCCCTTCTCATTATTGAACTTTATATGTACATTTTAATATAAAGCATAACGAATGCGCTATGCTTGCCAGCTACTTGAAGCAGTCTTTTTATTGGTCATTCGTATTTAAGTTAGTAGTAACTTAACATAAAACAAACTAGTTAACGACTTTAAAACCATAAAGTGTCGTGGACACATGTAGACCTAGACGGCAGAATTTTGGGGGATTTTTGTTGAAAAGTTTGGGGTAAAACGATGGCGAAGACGATATAATGCAACATGATGTTACTTTGAAAGAGAGCGCTCGATCACCATGACGCACCATGAATGTGCAAAACCAGGTTGACTCGCATTGCGTTAACTGTATACATTTGCATACGAAAATCGTATTTCGATCAAAAGACACTCTTCAAATTAAAAATAAAAATCGATTTGAGAAATCAGATTTGCGTTGTGGAAGTTGTTTTGGAATGATAAACAAATAAACGTACTTGACCAAAACTAAGCAGGGGAGACAGTCGCAACTTTATCGTTTTGCGGTCTCTTAAAGTTGATGACCTCCAAAGGAGTTGGCCGGCTGGCGGTGGCATTAGAAAAAAATGTAAATGCTGGGGTGCAGGTGGAGTGTACAGTGTTATATCGATTTTCGATAAAAGCTTGTCCTGGTATTGGTCATAATGATATGAGAATTTACAGTGAATTGATGGCAATTAATTAAAAGCAAACAATTATTGCTCGTGCATATAATGTACGCATTATTTTGTTTGAGCCACGCCCCTCCCCCCAATCGTGCGTGCGTAATATTGATGGACGGCCCGCGATTTTATTTCTCCCAAACGACATCTGCATATGGGTGTACGCTATGGCGTTTGGACTTACTTTTCCAAAAACATGAGAAGAAAATATAAAATAAGAAGGGAAAAAAGGAATATGAACGTTTCGAAATTTATTTCCCTTAAAAAAAAATCCACCAAAGCCGCAGGTTAGAAAAGAAAAAAAATCGGGTGAAAACCGTGTTTTGAACCCGCTAACCTCGCGGTGCAAAATCACGATCCTGTATCGATTGAGATATTGCAGTGCTCGCCAAAACGTGGGGAAAAAATAATTACATGTATATACCTGCGTACGCACCATAAAAGTATCGTAGAGGGCGCTAAATATATGCTGATGTCGTTTGGGAAAAGAAAACTCGCGGACGGCCTCGAACAAGCTCACTAATATTATTGTGTTACAAATTGAGGCTAATAAATGTAGTATATTGTCGCTTGTCTCCCATTTTACCCTATGCCAAGATTTCAGCTAGCCAAATAAACATGTACATTGTTTATTTGACCCAAAGTGTGAAACAGCTTACCAGATTTTATTAAGTTTGTTAAAAGTTTTTTTTTCGATCGCTGGGTTTTGTGAACATAAAAAAACTGCTTGAAATGTTTCTTCATTCATTGAAATTACATTGATTGTCAGGTTTTAAGCTTCCAGTTTATCATTGTTGTAGTAAAGGTTGTTTTTAGTTTTAGCTTAACGGTTGATTCTCTTTATTTTTGATGTTATGAAAATTTTTCGTGCATTTAATTGTTTTATTGACAGGGTCACTTTGAAAAAATAATAAAGTTTTACTGAAAAAACATTTGAGTTTTGTTCGTCCATGGGATTCTGAACAGCTTCCTGAAGCATTTGGTTTCGAATGTCGTGACCTTCGCTTCTCCACTGAAAAAGCCACCGTCGTGGCACTATCGCATGCGCGGCGCGTTGGCCATCTTGTAAGCCCCAAGTCCGGGCGATATTTTCTATTGCATATTTAAAGCCAGGCTCCAGCATTACTCTACATATAGCGAGCATGTGGTAAGGACAAAAAAATTGCGTCCGGCTGATCAGAGGTGTATTGCCTTATCTCTTCAATTTCCCAATTCCATGGCTGACACGGAACTCTCTTATGTTCACGAGGCGGACGGATTTCCGGCCTATTATGCTCGGGTGCACCCATAAACAATGAGCAGCCATCGTAATTTACCAAGTTACCATGCATGTGTTTTTAAGAGATATTTTCACAAAGTTTAAATCAGTTCCAGTTAATTCACACTTTGGCAGTGACCAAGGAAATACCCCATTTGTAAGTAGTATTTTCCTTAATTTTATGAAGCACTTTTAATAAGTTTGACAGACAGAATTAAGTGGATTTTCTGAGATTTTACAGCTAATTATACACTGATCAAACAACATGACATGCGTTTTAGTGTTTAGATTTGACAATAAGACTTTGTAACATGTTTGACTCAACTTGCCCTTTTTATATAGATAAAGACTTTCATGTCATTTTCATGGTTTTCTTAATAGTGTACGTTTTTCTGCTTTATTAAATTGCAGATAATCTCAATCTTAACCTGCGACACAACAACCGTGAGTGCTTGTCAAATAAGTGACATTGTATAAGCCTGCAGGCAGCACGATCATAGGCTAAAATTAAGGCTTTTATTGGAGTATATATATCTGTCTTATAAGGCCAAAAAAAAATAGTCGGTCTCTGATCAGTGCGCGCGTCGATTTTAATCATGCGCGTCAACCTTTTTTCTTCAAATTGTCAGCGTTGGCTACAACAGCGCCCTCTATTGCCACACCTCCTCAAATTGTTGTACCAAGGAATGGGGAAATTGCACAAAGGCAAATGATGGAGGGCACAAAGGCAAATAATGGAGGATACCAATGTATATGAGGACATAAAAAGCAAAAATAGTACCCACCTTGTCTGTACAATCCAAGCTTGGAAAAAAAAAAACGCGTCGCCGCATCAATTCCGGAACTTTGGTCTGACCAGAGACCGACTATTTTGTTTGGCCTAACCAAAACATTTCAAATGTGACCTCATATAACGGGCTCTCTGCTTTTGGGGGGGGGGATACTGTACAGTGACTTATCAGGAATGTCATGAATGCGGAGCATGACTCAACTGCATGGTGTTATACGCGAGTTTAAAATGGGGGGGGGGGCCTTAGGTTGAGGTGATTGCGGACCGCAGGCGTATACTGCTTGGGGGAATAAAAGCTCGAAGTGATCTATAGAAAGCTGCGGGCCAATGAGTAAATTTTACATGTGTACCTTCTGTCCAGTTTCCATGACATAGATAGCGCTCGTGCATGTATACATAACAAAGGATTTCACATTTACACGATTCGTTGAACGTCACAATGTAAAATTGCATGACCTCGATAATGTAAGTCTTTCCGCCCTCCCTGGATACCCATAAAACTGACACAGGGCCTCAAGCGGCAGGCTTGCCAAGGTGATGAATGGTGCACAGGTGCGCTTTCCAACGTCTGTTAAACAATAAGAGACACGATGACTTTTTGAGCTGCTATTCGCAGTTGACCCCTGCCCTATAATAGCGAATTCCCGATGAGCATTTGCGCTGGGTTTCCCAAGCTCCATACATGATACACCGCACTATATGCATGAAGAAAATACTCGAACGTTATACATGCCACGCTCTAAAGTTTTAGCGTCGTGACGGTTCCATCTGAAACCGATTGAAATCATCCTGTTTTCACGCTTTAGCCAATGTTGTATGTTTCAAGTCAATTAGTTGCCTCGTGAACGACTGCTGCATGGTATGTGTACATGGATTTGGTGAGTTTTATCTTAACTGGGTTTGGACATATGATTGATGTTTGTCCATTTTCCGAGTCAGGCAATTTTAAATATAATTATGATACCCAACTCTATATCGAATTCCCTGCTGGTCACTCATGATTCAGTCAACAATATATTTAACATATAGCTCTCCCTCTGCCATTCCAATCCTAATTTCTAGGTAATGTACTAACTCTTTGATATTTTACTCGGAAACATTGATTTAGACATGCTTTGAAAAAATCCTTGAGTATCCGTGTTCTCTGACATTAACACCTATTAGCCCCAATGATGTCGAGTCGATGTGTAGCACTGCCACTAAACCAGAGGAGCCGATACGGCGACCAGGAGAGATACCCCTTGGGAAGTTCTTTGCCGGGCAAGTCGTGAGGATCACCGAGAAGGAGAAGACAGATACTTACCTTGGTGAGATGCGTACCCTGCACGATTCTGCATCCCGTCACTACGACGTAGTCGTACTGAGAGAGGCTAGCGAGCCTGAGAAGGCGGGCCACACTTTTGAGTCGCCACCCCCGGTGAAGATTCGTAGGATCATCGTGGATAAGGACTCGAGGTCAGAAGGCGTGGGACCCTCCATGAACAACGCACAACTGGAAGGCTCCATGATTGGCAACGTGACAAAGATCACCGAGAGGAAGACCCGTAGTCTGTACCATGGAGGACTGTTGGTTACCCGAGAGGAAAGTTAGAATAAGCAGCCAACATTGTGTCCACGTTAGAGTTAGCGATAGACGCCTATATAGGAGTCGCCTGTCAAGGCGCACACAATAAAACACCATTGTTACGTTATATAAAGAGGACTGTGACTTAATCATTGTCTCCTGTGAGTTATTGGGCCTAATAGGGTGAGAGTGATTGAGTGTGAGTATCGCTGGTCCACTGCAATGCCTGGGGGTATACTTCCTCCAAACGAAGTAACGTCCCGGGTTTCCCGGTAACCGCTCATCGGGAAAGCCTAATCCTGTCAGCGTCCGTCCGGCGGCATCTCCCGGCTGGAGGCAGGGACGAAGGGTCGGCGGACCGTTACAATATGTATTTCTCTATATAGACAATTTTCTTTAGTCAGATCTGTATGCACAATGTTTGAACCTTTTCTAATATTAGTATTTAATGTCATATTTTGTTTTTTAACTCGATAAGCCTTTAACTTTTTTTAAAATGTATTATTTTTTAAATGTAAATCACGTGCAATTCAGCTGTGGCTGCCATTCGTGATTTGTTAATAAACCATGTTGAATGAATGAATGAATGAATGAATACATTCATGGCTCGCGCTGCGCCTCATGACGAACGTTCGTTCAGCTAGAGATAGGTGTGTCTGGGTGCCAGACTGTGTGGGTGAGACCCAAGTTGCTGTGAAAAAAAATCACGCATGAGTGGGTTTACAACTTGGGCCTGTATTGGCGTCAATATTTGCGACTTGGAGACCACGCGTGAATATTGGCGTCAATATTGGCGTCAATATTTGCGACTTGGGTCCATGTCGTAAATATTGGCGTCAATACTGGCGCAAATATTTGCGACGTGGAGGCCTTGTCGTGAATATTGGCGTCAATATTGGCGTCAATATATATGTGCGAGGATTAAGTTTAGCAGTTACAAAGTAGATGCAAGTCAAACGTCATTCCTGTATACAAAGACCTCTTTTTGTGCATGTAAAATCGTTTTTCCATGGTAATTGATATTGGGCTGTGAAGTGTACATACAATTGTGGCCCCCTTTATTGTGTTTCTTGTCTGAAGCATTGGACTCTAAGTTTTGAATATGGCTGTCAAAATTAAAATCCTGCCTTTACCAAAATGACATGAATACATTGTAATAATAATAAAAATGAAATTTAATTATCATTGTTTTTTTTTCAGAAAGACAAAAAAAAAATCTAAATATAAAACCATCTACATGTATGGTAAAGTGACAGTAAATGTATTTTTGTATTGTGTTTTGTACTACTCGGTAGCAAATTACATCGGACCCCTTTTGCACTTCTCGACTTCACAGCGACAGTAATAACTACAGTGAATACGCATTTTGCACTCCTAAATATTTTAGCTTAGCTAAGGTATGAGTGAAGAGTTTATGTAAATCGAAATAGGCCTACATGCACTTACGGGGATAAATTCCTGGAAATACTCGCTGAGTACAACATAATGTAATGCAGTGTTTTTCGAGCCAAATAAAAATAGGCAGAACTGATACGCACAGTTTTCCGATGGGAATCTGTTTTTGCTTTATTATGTACGCCACGGACGCGAACTTCTCTAAAAACATGAGAAGAAAATATGAATAGGGGGAAAATGAATTCGAACGAAATAAAATTCGGACTTCATTTCCCTTTTTAACAAAAATCATCCGAAGCCTAGAAAAGAAAAAACAATTTGTGTACAAATCTGTTCGAACCCACAACCTCGCGGTGCAAAATATCACCCCTATCAACTGAGCTATCGCACTGCTTTGCCCGAACTCTGGGGAAAAAAATTATATACCTGCGTGAGTATCATAAAATTATCGTAAAGGGCGCTAAACAAGCCCGGGCACGTTGTAAAAAGAGCCAGCCAACAGAGGGCGCTGATTTGTTCTTTCATTTTCTCGTGGCGCACGTGGGAAGGTCGATGTCTCCGTTGTGCAGCAGGTAAAGGCCTTAAATTTGTAAAAAATGATGCCGATTCTTTTCATTCTGGAATGCATTTTAGTGGGAAACAGTATTCTGTTGTGTAGGATAGCCCTTATTGACCATTAATGGAACCAAAATGACGTATTCAGAACCATAAGTCCACGACTATGGAGAATCATTCACGTTTGTTTCACTTGCACACCGTTCATCAAACATGTGCGTACACGCATACTGTACTGACTGCGTTGGGGACCATGTTGCATGTGCACATCACATCACACATAGGCGCGACGCGTGCGCATTATCATCGGGTACAAATCCTGTCAACACACCGTCAATACTTCACATTCTAATTTGGCAAATGTGATATACTGGAGGTGTTGACGTTGTGTTGACGGTGTGTTGACATGGTTGACGTCAGGGGCGTAAATCAAGGAGGGGGGGGGTGCTAATCCTATTTTGAATGAAACACCATGCACACAGACCATGTGGATGTCCACGGGCGAAATCTTTAAAAATCAATTTCTTCTCCCGTTTGGAAGACCCGCACTGTATCTTCGTGCAACTTTCAGTGTTTGTTTCCCTTAAAATGATTCAACTATGAGCTAAAATCGTTTGATATGTTAAGTACATGTACATGTACTTTTAAAATTATGTTCAGTACTTATAAGCACTGATAACATTTGCAGTATCGCCTCATTTAAATAAATATCACCCTTTTTGCCGGCTTTCATTGGTCGATACCGAGACCCATGAGAAGTCACGCCGAGTGACGCTCATGAATATGCTAATATAAATATGCACTTCGTCATTGTTGCCCGGGCCAAAATCGGCCAACCTAAAAACCAAGCACGTGAGTTTGGACGGCAAAAAAATCCTCGTCACAATTTTGCTTGGAGGTAAGTTCATGGTGTAACATAAGAGTTTGCAAAAAAAAGAAAGAGTTATAGCCCCATCTGAAATTCGGAACATACTCTGATGATATAGGTGTTCAACTACTCGTGAAATAAGAAGTCGGGGGATTCCTAGAAATTGACATAAATACATGGGGGCAGTTTTAGAGCGATTTCTTCCGGACTTTAAGGTCAGCTTTACTAGTACGTTTCGGCATCGATGACGGCGACTTTTTCACTGGCATGAAGTTTAGAATTTCTTCTTTCATTATCATTTGACATTTGAATCATAATACTGAGCATATTTTCTGAGAAACACAACGTTCAAATAGTCATGTTTGTTTGGTTGGTGCATGAATTTCACTGCTCGGTTATATTGTCCAAGTACGTAATCGGATTAACTTTAGACCTTGGCAGCCACACGGCTGCACTAGTGCGGCTGAAATATTTCGCTGCGCTGTATCCTAGAGCGACACTGCACGTTAAGAAAAGCTGGCTGACTTTTTTTCAAGCTTCTTGCGCTTGCGACAGTATAGAGTTTTGAGCTATTGGTTGCATTCTGTGATCAGCTTTTGTGCTCCGAACTGTCATTCCAGGCAGAAACCTCAATGTTACAGCTAAAGAACCACAAAAAAGTTGCTAGAATTTTGGATATTTTGCTGTCGTTTTACTTTTCTATTCAATAAAATAATAAAAATGGTGAACCTGTACAGCGCTTTCCATCGTATCAATAATCTCAAAACGCTATACTACAAATATGATCCCATTCATCAGGCCACGAGACCATGCAGGCGGCAGCTGATATCAGCGCACATATTCAGTCCTCTACCTCACAAGCACCCATTCACATTCTTGGCAGGAGCGCCGAGGCAGTTGTTGTAGAGTATCTTGCCCAAGGGCACAAGTTCAAGTTTTGTTATTTGTTGTGTCGCACATGGAAATCTCATTGAGCGACCCTTTCTCAAAAACGTTTCAGCCAATGTTTGAGTTCATGAACAGAAAATCCCTAAACTTAACACTGTTTTCCTCTCTTGATATAACATCAACAGCTTGTGATTTCAACACAGTCTCCAGGTGACAACCTTGACAGTGAACCCCTGTCTGGAATCTGAAGATTTGACATCAAGGAGAGACTCGGATCCAGGAGTGTTATATAACATCCGGCCAGCCCCGGTGATTTCATAGTGTGAAGCCTTCTGTGGCGAAAGACGTTTGCAGAATTTGATGTCATATTTAATCCACCATAAAGATACGTAAAAGCACTTCAGAAAAATGGACACAAAATTAGGACCGGAGGTGAATTGTCACCTAAGGGTGCACACGGATGAGAAACCATCAGTTTGTGTCACCTGTGGTAAAGCCTTTGCTCAGCAAGCTACTGGCATACTAAGCAGACTTGAGAAGATACACACGGGTGATAAACCATTTGTTTGTGAGACCTGTGGTACCGAAGCCTTCTCTGAACAAGGTGATCTACAGAAACTGGAGGGGACACAAACAGGTGAGAAACCATTTGTTTGTGCGACCTGTGGTAAAGCCTTTACTACACAAACAGATTTTCAACGACACCACAAGATTCACATCACCAATAAGAAACCATTTCTTTGTGAGACCTGTGGAAAAGCCTTTACTCACCAAATTCATCTACGGAATCACAGCAGGGTACATTCGGATGAAAAACCATTTGTTTGTGATACCTGTGGGAAAGCCTTTAATTGGCAAACTGCTCTGCACAGACATCGCAGGATACACACCGGTGAGAGACCATTCGTTTGTGAGACCTGTGGTAAAACCTATAATCAAAAAAGTACTCTGCATGAACATCGCAGGATACACACCGGTGAGAGATCATTCGTTTGTGAGACCTGTGGTAAAGCCTTTAATCAAAAACGTGTTCTGCATCAACATCGCAGGATACACACTGGTGAGAGACCTTTCGTTTGTGAGACCTGTGGTAAAGCCTTTAATCAGCATGGTGTTCTGCGTCAACACCACAGGATTCACACTGGCGAGAGACCATTCGTTTGTGAAACCTGTGGTAAAGCCTTTGTTTGGCAAAGTGCTCTGCATCAACATCACAGGGTACATACTGGTAAGAAACCTTTCGTTTGTGAAACGTGTGGTAAAGCCTTTAATCAGCAAAGTGCTCTGCATTACCATCACAGAGTACACACTGGCGAGAGACCATTCGTTTGTGAGACTTGTGGTAAAGCATTTGTCCGACAAAGTCATCTCCATCAACATCAGAGGATACACACTGGTGAGAAACCATTCGTTTGTGAGACCTGTGGTAAAGCCTTTAATCAAAAAAGTGTTCTGCATCAACATCGCAGGATACACACTGGTGAGAGACCATTCGTTTGTGAGACCTGTGGTAAAGCCTTCACCCAGCAGAATAATCTACAGAAACACAACAGGACGCACACAGTTGAGAAACCTTTCGTTGATGTGACCTGTGGTAAATCCGTTGCTCTGCAAAGTGTTCTGCGTGAACATCACACTGGCGAGAGACCATTCGTTTGTGAGACCTGTGGTAAAGACTTTGTCCAACAAGGTAACCTCCATCTTCATCACAGTGTACATACTGGAGAGAGGCCATTTGTTTGTGAGACATGTGGAAAATCCTTTGTCCAACAAGGTAACCTCCATCTTCATCACAGGGTACATACTGGAGAGAGGCCATTTGTTTGTGAGACATGTGGAAAATCCTTTGCTCGGCAAAGTGTTCTGCGTGATCATCACAGGGTACACACTGGTGAGAGACCATTCGTTTGCGAGACTTGTGGTAAAGCCTTTGCTCAGAAAAGTGCTCTGCGCACACATAACAAGCTACACACAGACGAGAGACCATTTCTATGTGAGACCTGTGGTAAAGCTTTCACTCAGCAAAGTGGTCTACAGAATCACAACAGGGTACATACTGGTGAAAAACCATTCGTTTGTGAGACCTGTGGTAAAGCCTTTGTCCAACAAGGTAACCTCCATTGTCATCACAGGGTACACACTGGCGAGAGACCATTCGTTTGTGAGACCTGTGGTAAAGCCTTTGTCCAACAAGGTAACCTCCATCAACATCAAATGGTACACACGGGTAAGAAGCCATTCGTTTGTGAGACCTGTGGTAAAGCCTTTGTTCAGAAAAGTCAGCTGCGTAAACACTACAGGATTCACACTGGCAAGACTTAAGGCAATTGTGCTGTATAATTGTTCCTTCAATCGAAGATTTGTAACTTGTTACGGGCCCAGTATATCCTGATTGTCCATGAAATTGTTACCTATGGTTTACTGCTACTTACTTGTGGTAGCAATATGCTCAGGTGGCGTACATCAAATTTCCAGAATTTCTTTTGGGACGCACAATCGTAAATGGTAGCTATTTGTTAACTTTTTGTTTTGAAAAGTATGCAGTACATGCATTTTTGAGATTGCAATACACGTATTATGTAACATTTTCCAAAGCATAACGTGACTTATGAGGAAATAATCATTCGTACCATTATAGCCTAAACTTGCATGCATTTGTGTATTCCCAATTAGTCGTACCATCATGGTAATCAAACAGCCCCCCCCCCTCCCTTTCCCGAAGGGGAAAACCCGAGATGTGCGTAATGGTCTAAAACACACATTGATGTATATGGAATACCCAACGTTTGTTTTTGCTGCAATACTTTCACAAATGAATGGATTTGGGGATTGCGTTTTATAGCAGATATTGTTACAATGGCCCATTTACAGTTTTAAGGTCGTTCACAGATTCTGGGGGGGGGGGGGGGATAAGGAAAAATGCTGTTCATGTTGCCTGATTCCCTGATCCCACAATGGAGAAATTCATGGCCATTGTAATGTCAGGGTACCAATCTAGCTGGATTAATTGCACCCGTTCACGGATGAGACCGATTGCAAACAAAATGTGGACTATAAATGGGAGATAGTCTTTGAGAAAAAGCCGGGTTTTTTTTCCAAACGATAGTCAGTATACCAAGTGTTGGAAATTGATACACAAACTATTATTATTATTTTTTTTCTTGTTGTTTCTTGAAAATAACTGCACTGGTGCCATGATTTTACAGGACCGTTGAGGCTGTCGTTCACAGTCCAGTAAGGTATTTCATAATATTTTGGTAGTTTTCGTATCTGCAAAATACGTTGTATGTTGCTTTTTATGTAAGGAAATGTAAGTAGAATGGTACAATAATTCAATATGTATTGATTTTGCGATGTATTGATTTTGCCAGGGGATTGATTACTCGGAAGAATTAGTTTCGTATTCCCGATTCCATAGTTATTCTTCCAGAGTGGTCTTGGGTACATTTGTAATTATTATTTGAACTCTGAAAAAAAATTGCCTCAGTCGTTAGCATGGATGGATGTTGCTCAACGTATACGTTAGGATCAATACACCGTGGTTTTAATTTTCAAAATTTCTTTCCATGGACTGGTTGCTATGGGGCCGCACAAAATGCCGATTTTTGTTTTTAGCCCTCTCAGTGGTTCGACCCCCCCCCCCCATCTCATTATTGAAATATATATGTACATTTTAATATAAAGCATAACGATTGCGCTATGCTTGCCGGCTACTTGAAGCAGTCTTTTTATTGGTCCTTCGTATTTAAGTTAGTAGTAAAAGTTTAACATAAAACAAACTAGTTAACGACTTTAAAACCATAGTGTCGTGGACACATGTTGGCCTAAACGACAGAATTTCGGGGGATTTTTTTGTGGAAAAGTTTGGGGTAAAACGATGGCGAATACGATATAATGCAACATGATGTTACTTTGAAAGAGAGCGCTCGATCACCATGACGCACCATGAATGTGCAAAACCAGGTTGACTCGCATTGCGTTAACTGTATACATTTGCATACGAAAATCGTATTTCGATCACAAGACACTCTTCAAATTAAAAATAAAAATCGATTTGAGAAGTCAGATTTGCGTTGTGGAAGTTGTTTTGGAATGATAAGCAAATATACATACTTGACCAAAACTAAGCAGGGGAGACAGTCGCAACTTTATCATTTTGCGGTCTCTTAAAGTTGATGACCTCCAAAGGAGTTGGCCGGCTGGCGGTGGCATTAGAAAAAAATGTAAATGCTGGGGTGCAGGTGGAGTGGAGGGTACAGTGTTATATCGATTTTCGATAAAAGCTTGTCCTGGTATTGGTCATAAATATGAGAATTTACAGTTATTTTATGGCAATTAGTTAAAAGCAAATAATTATCGCTCGTGCATGACTGTAATTATGTACGCATTATTTTGTTTGGGCCACGCCCCTCCCCCAATCGTGCGTGCGTAATTGATGGACGGCCCGCGATTTTTGCTTCCAAACGACATCCGCATATGGGTGTGCGCTATGGCGTTTGAACTTGACTTTTCCAAAAACATGAGAAGAAAATATAAAATAAGAAGGGGAAAAAAGGAATTTGAACGTTTCGAAATTCGGACGTTATTTCCCTTTTTAAAAAATATCCTCCAAAGACGCAGGTTAGAAAAGAAAAAAATTGGGTGAAAACCGTGTTTTGAACCCGCAAACTTCGCGGTGCAGAATCAAGATCCTGTATCGACTGAGATATTGCGGTGCTTGCCAAAACGTGGGGAAAAAATAATTACATGTATATACCTGCGCACGCACCATAAAAGTATCGTAGAGGGCGCTAAATATATGCTGATGTCGTTTGGGAAACGAAAATTTGCGGACGGCCTAATAATATTGTGTTACAAATGGAGGCTAATGAATGTTGTCGCTTGTCTCCCATTTTACCCTATGCCAAGATTTCAGCTAGACAAATAAACATGTACATTGTTTATTGGACCCAAAGTGTGAAACACCTTACCAGATTTTATTAAGTTTGTTAAAAGTTTTTTTTCGATCGTTGGGTTTTGTGAACATAAAAAAACTGCTTGCAATGTTTCTTCATTCATTAAAATTACATTGATTGTCAGGTTTTAAGCTTCCAGTTTATCATTGTTGTAGTAAAGGTTGTTTTTAGTTTTTGCTTAACGGTTGATTCTCTATATTTCGTGCATTTAATTGTTTTATTGACAGGGTCACTTTGAAAAAAAATAAAGTTTTACTGAAAAAACATTTGAGTTTTGTTCGTCCATGGGATTCTGAACAGCTTCGTCAAGCATTTGGTTTCGAATGTCGTGACCTTCGCTTCTCCACTGAAAAAGCCACCGTCGTGGCACTAGCGCATGCGCGGCGCGTTGGCCATCTTGTAAGCCCTAAGTCCGGGCGATATTTTTTATTGCATATTTAAAGCCAGGCTCCAGCATAACTCTACATATAGCGAGCATGTGGTAAGGACAAAAAATCGCGTCCGGCTGATCAGAGGTGTATTGCCTTATCTCTTCAATTTTCCAATTCCATGGCAAGGAACCCTTTTGTGTTCACGAGGCGGACGGATTTCCGGCCTATTATATACTCGGGTGCACCCATAAACAATGAGCAGCCATCGTAATTTACCAAGTTACCATGCATGTGTTTTTAAGAGATATTTTCACAAAGTTTAAATCAGTTCCAGTTAATTCACATTTTGGTTGACCAAGGAGATACCCCACTTGTAATTAGTATATTCCTTAATTTTATGAAGCACTTTTAATAAGTTTGAAAGACAGAATTAAGTGGATTTTCTGAAATTTTACAGCTAATTATACACTGATCAAACAACATGACATGCGTTTTAGTGATTAGATTTGACAATTAGACTTTAATTTGTAACATGTTTGACTTAACTTACCCTGTTTATATATAGATAAAGACTTTCATGTCATTTTCATGGTTTTCTTATTAGTGTACGTTTTTCTGCTTTATTAAATTGCCGATAATCTCAATCTGAACCTGCGACACAACAACCGTGAGTGCTTGTCAATTAAGTGACATTATATAAGCCTGCAGGCAGCACGATCATAGGCTAAAATTAAGGCTTTAATTGGAGTATATATATCTGTATAAGGCCAAAAAAAAATAGTCGGTCTCTGGTCAGTGCGCGCGTCGATTTTAATCATGCGCGTCAACCTTTTTTCTTCAAATTGTCAGCGTTGGCTACAACAGCGCCCTCTATTGCCGCACCTCAAATTGTTGTACCAAGGAATGGGGAAATTGCACAAAGGCAAATGATGGAGGGCACAAAGGCAAATAATGGAGGATACCAATGTATATGAGGACATAAAAAGCAAAAAATAGTATCCAAGCTTGGAAAAAAAAAACCGCGTCGCCGCATCAATTCCGGAACTTTGGTCTGACCAGAGACCGACTATTTTGTTTGGCCTAACCAAAACATTTCAAATGTGACCTCATAACGGGCTCTCTGCTTTTTGGGGGGAGGGGGATACTGTATAGTGACTTATCATGAATGTCATGAATGCGGAGCATGACTCAACTGCATGGTGTTATACGCGAGTTTAAAATGGGGGGGGGGGCTTAGGTTGAGGTGATTGCGGACCGCAGGCGTATACTGCTTGGGGGAATAAAAGCTCGAAGTGATCTATAGAAAGCTGCGGGCCAATGAGTAAATTTTACATGTGTACCTTCTGTCCAGTTTCCATGACATAGATAGCGCTCGTGCATGTATACATAACAAAGGATTTCACATTTACACGATTCGTTGAACGTCACAATGTAAAATTGCATGACCTCGATAATGTAAGTCTTTCTGCCCTCCCTGGATACCCATAAAACTGACACAGGGCCTCAAGCGGCAGGCTTGCCAAGGTGATGAATGGTGCACAGGTGCGCTTTCCAACGTCTGTTAAAAATAAGAGACACGATGACTTTTTGAGCTGCTATTCGCAGTTGACCCCTGCCCTATAATAGCGAATTCCCGATGAGCATTTGCGCTGGGTTTCCCAAGCTCCATACATGATACACCGCACTGCATGCATGAAGAAATTACTCGAACGTTATACATGCCACACTCTAAAGTTTCAGCGTCGTGACGGTTCCATCTGAAACCGATTGAAATCATCCTGTTTTCACGCTTTAGCCAATGTTGTATGTTTCAAGTCAATTAGTTGCTTCGTGAACGACTGCTGCATGGTATGTGTACATGGATTTGGTGAGTTTTATCTTGACTGGGTTTGAACATATGATTGATGTTTGTCCATTTTCCGAGTCAGGCAATTTTAAATATAATTATGATACCCAACTCTATATCGAATTCCCTGCTGGTCACTCATGATTCAGTCAACAATATATTTAACATATAGCTCTCCCTCTGCCATTCCAATTCTAATTTCTAGGTAATGTACTAACTCTTTGATATTTTACTCGGAAACATTGATTTAGACATGCTTTGAAAAAAATCCTTGAGTATCTGTGTTCTCTGACATTAAAACCTAGTAACAATGAGTGGATATAAGCATATAAAGCAAGAAACCTTTCCTTGCCAATAGTATTATGCATTAAGTATTGATAACGACCAGTAATTATTGTTGGGATTGATCTTGATAGTGTGATATTTTCTGATATTAGTCTGGCAAAGTTTAGCTTCATGGCATTTCTACATTTGAATGATAATTCGTTATTCCTGTTTAAAGTGATGGTCGGATTCGTATAAAGGATTTAGTTAGTGAATTTTTAATAACTTGGGATAACTGAGTTTACCCCAATTTTTGGTGTCTCAGAAATCTCGGAGTACCCAGATTTAGTTTCCTGTTGTTTAACTGTAAACACCTTGTATTAGTGACTTCTACTTCTACTTCTACCCCCGGGGGGTAGTCCCAAGTGCCCCCACTCAAACATTTAAAATTGGCAGCTTGCCAAGGAATTATTAATTGTCCGAGTTATAACAACAAACATGAAATTTTCTACTTTTGGCTTCTCTTAAGCGCAAGGCTGTATGAAATTTAAAAGGAAAAAGAGCACGCTGCTTCCTCCCCCTCGCCCCTCCCCTCCCCCGCTCAGTTTCGAATTTGCAGCACTTGTGGTGGCTGGCAAATTTGGGGGAAATGTTGTTGGGTTTATAAACTGGGACAATTGAATAAGATGCACTTCAAAAGACTGTGTCTTACTTACACAATGTGGGATGCTGGGCCTTGGCCTTAAGGCTGCCTTAAGGCTGGATTTTAGGGCCTTGGCCTTGGCCTCGAGGCTTGAGGGCAAAAGCCTTGGCCTTGGCCTTGGCCTTGAGGGTTCAGGGCCTTGCAATTTTGAGTCAAGGCTCTTCAAGACCCATAGATTTTTGCATTTTCCAGATAAATCTGTTTGAAATTTTGCTGTTACCATTTTAATCGTATTACCATGGAGGAGGGAAGCACCCTATAGATTTGTGTGTTGGGCACACTTCCATTTTTGGAGCATCACATTTCGTTACCATTGTAGTAGATTTGCTGCAAAAATATTCCGTACACTTGTGGGGCTAATGAGATGATCACTTTAATTGCATATAACTATGGAATAGATCTGATTGGTTGTATATGTCTCCCTGATAAGTGCTAGAGATTTGCATGTATCTGTTTTAGATAATACTGATATTTCTGACCATGTTGGCCCAGCAAATAAAAATTTCCCAAATCAGTTTCTTGGATCCCCCTTTTGTTACACTTGAGAGAATTGTGTGTCAATATAGAAGTAAATCATTATTTTGATTAGTTAAACCATATTGAAGACCTGAACTTAAACTTTAATAGATACAGTGCAGTCATAAAACGGTGTAGGCCTATGCGAGCATGTTAATTGCTATTAAAGAAATGTTGTTCTTCGTAACGAGCAATTCGTGATGATAGGGGCGGATCCAGGGTGGCCAAAAGGGGCCATGCCCCCCCCCCCCCAAAAAAAAAAAAACCCGAAACCATTTTTTTCTATGTGACGTCGTAATAAAGGCAGGCAATGAGTACACCACCATCTTTTCTTCAAAAAACATCGGTTAAAATGGTCAGAAATTGCCTCAAATCGAACCACAGAGCATCTCGAATCCAAAAAAATTTCGGGGCCCTTAAGCGGGCCCCGAAGCCCAAGCCGTAATTTTTGGACCCACTTTTTGGGGGGGACCAAAATTTCTTTGCCCCCCCCCCCCCCCCAAATTGTGTTCTGGATCTGCCCTTGCGTGATGATGTGTCACTCATGTGACTATAATTAGTTCTATATCAGTGGTCATTTCATAAAACAGGGCCTTGGCCTTGGCCTTGAGGGTTAAGCCTTGGCCTTGGCCTCGAGGCTTGAGGGTCAAAGCCTTGGCCTTGGCCTTGAGGGTCAAAGCCTTGGCCTTGGCCTTGAGGGTCAAAGCCTTGGCCTTGGCCTTGAGGGTCAAAGCCTTGGCCTTGGCCTTGAGGGTCAAAGCCTTGGCCTTGGCCTTGGCCTTGAGGGTCAAAGCCTTTGCTCCAAGACTGGATCAGACAGCTAGGCCTACCATGCACCATGTGTGAGTGACCGTCCAGAGACAAGTGGTCACCCCCTTATTTGTCCCTGGGGTCTGACCAGTGGTCTTTTATTAAAGAGGGTACGGTAGATGAGGGCGTAAACCACTAAACCCGTTCTCGAGTGACCCGCGAACAGTGTTTGACCAATTTGGTTAAAATTGGTCAAAGTATGTAGCAGCAATAAACAATGTCAACGTTTGTTACTAACTAACCAACATACGGACTAACGGGGAGACATAAGTAATTGTAGAGCTGCTACCCGCAGCTAAAAATACTCTCAACTCTCCAAGGTGTTGGAGACACACAAACATTAATTAAAAAATGTTTCATCTTCTTGTAAATTTCTGTTCAATTTTGGAGGGTAGCTTTTTGGAGAAATTGCCTCCCGAAGATGGCCAACCCCCGGTATATAGTGGTGAAGCCCATCGCCATTTTGGAAACTGATGCCTTTACTCCATTGCAAAATAGGGCCATTTGGTGCTTTTGGTATTTTATGCTTCACGAATTTGCATATTCATGAGTGCAAGTGTAATGTCATTTTAGACAGAAACCTCAATGTTACAGCTATTTCAGTACAATAATTAGTCAGAAGTTTAGATTTCAGTGCCGTCGTAAACTTTCTTTTCTGTAGTGATTCATTGTTGTTTCAGTACATGGCAGTTAGCCAATGAGCGCAGTTTTCACACAAATGTTTTCAATGAACACCTTTTGGGCCCACAATTTGCCCAGAAATCGCCCAAAGTGAACAGTACGTGGCTTCCTGAAATGACATCACAGCAATAGCGCCCTCTTTTGTCAGGAAAAGCATGGGAAATTTTAAATGTTTTAAAAAGTGCACTTTTAAATAAAAATTAACCAAAAAGGCATGTGATTGTTTTCATACATTTAAGAGGAGCAGAAAGTTGCAGAAGTTTCCTTTTTATAGAAAAAATGAACCCTTTAATACCTGCAATTCATTATGATGTGATTAGTTATATACTAGTTGTCATTTTATATGACAGAGCCTTGGACTTGACCTTGAGGGTTAAGCCTTGGCCTTAGCCCAAAGATTCGAGTGTAAAACCCTTGGCCTTACGGCCTTCGCCTTGGCCTTGAGGGTCAATGCCTTAGACTTACATGACAGAGCTTCGCTCCAATTATACTGAATGCAGCTATACCATATAATAGTTTGTATTGTTTTGTTGTGTTTATTGGAACTCGGGGACATGATCATGTAATTCAAACACGCAACTCTGACAATTGCATTCATTTATCTTGGACTGAAGACGAGTGCCATGAAGTCATGGATGAAGTGTAGTACATGTAGAACAGCATTTTGAAGCATGTAAGTAACTGTGTGTGTTTGTATGTGTTTTTAGCACAGTCTCCAGGTGACGACCCTGACAGCAAACCCCTGTCTGCATATGGTCTAGAACCTGAAGGTTTGGCATCACTGAATTAAAGAGAGACTGCCAGGAGTGTTGTGTAGCATCCAGCCTTCGTGAAGATGCTTTTGTAGTGTGCAGCATTTTGCAAAGACAGATGGTTGCTGAATTTGATGTTGTACACAATTTATGAAGTCGGCCATAATTAAGCACTTTACAAAAATGGACACAAAAGCACCTGAGTTGATTTGTCAGAGGGTGCACAAGGATGAGAAACCATTCGTTTGTGCGACCTGTGGTAAAGCGTATAATCAACAATGTAGTCTACGAAGGCACGAAATGATGCACATGGATGAGAAACCATCATTCGTTTGTGCAACCTGTGGTAAAGGCTTTAAACAACAAAGTAGTCTACGAACGCATGAAATGATACACACGGGTGAGAAACCATTCGTTTGTGAGACCTGTGGTAAAGCCTTTACCACTCAAGGTAATCTTCAACAACATAACATGGTTCACACTGGTGAGAAACCTTTCGTTTGTGCAACCTGTGGTAAAGCCTTTACTCAGCAAAATGGACTACACCAACACAGCAAGATGCACATGGATGAGAAACCATTCGTTTGTGCAACCTGTGGTAAAGCCTTTAATCATCAAAGAAGTCTACGAAGGCATGAAATGATACACACGGGTGAGAAACCATTCGTTTGTGAGACCTGTGGTAAAGCCTTTACAACACAGACACATCTTCAACGACACACGAGGATTCACACAGGCGAGAAACCATTCATTTGTGCAACCTGTGGTAAAGCCTTTAACCAACCAAGAAGTCTGCAAAGGCATGAAATGATTCACACGGGTGAGAAACCATTCGTTTGTGAGACATGTGGTAAAGCCTTTTCTACACAAACACATCTTCAACGGCACACGAGGATTCACACAGGTGAAAAACCATTCGTCTGTGCAACCTGTGGTAAAGCCTATAACTGGCGATATGATCTACACACACATCTAAGGTTACACACGGGTGAGAAACCATTCGTTTGTGAGACCTGTGGCAAAGCCTTTACATCACAAGCACATCTTCAACGACACACGAGGATTCACACAGTTGAAAAACCATTCGTTTGTGACACATGTGGTATGGCCTTTACCACACGAGAATATCTTCAACAACATAACACGGTTCACATCATTGAAAAACCATTTGTTTGTGCAACCTGTGGCAAATCCTTTATGACAGAAGGTAGTCTTCAAGGACATGCCATGTTTCACACTGGTGAGAAACCTTTCGTTTGTGCAACCTGTGGTAAAGCCTTTACTCAGCAAAAAGGACTACGTCAACATAGCAAGATGCACATGGATGAGAAACCATTCGTGTGTGAATACTGTGGTAAAGGTTTTACTCTACAAAATCGTCTTCTGAGACACGAAATGATTCACACTGGTGAGAAACCCTTTGTTTGCCTGACCTGTTGCAAAGCCTTTTCCAGACAGTCTTGTCTAATCCAACATGGCAGGGTGCACAGTAGCGAGAAACCATATGTTTGTGTGACCTGTGGTAAAGCATATGCTCACAAATGGGTTTTACGCCAACATAGCAAGATTCACACTGATGAGAAACCGTTCACATGTGCAACCTGCGGCAAAGCTTTTACTTGGCAAACCTGTCTTCGCCAACATGAGAGGATTCACACAGGGGAGAAACCATTTGTTTGTGTGACCTGTGGTAAAGCTTTTCCTCGGAAAAGTGAACTCCGCAGACATGACAGGGTTCACACTGGTGAGAAAAGAGTCCCAACAACATTCCCTAAAGATAACGAAGTCCACACATAACCATAAATCTGGTTGTGAAACTTTTGGTACACATTCACATAGTAAACTATTCTATGTGTAGCGGGCATGATATAGTCAAATGCTATACGCCGACACAATTAATTTTTACCGGTTATACGCTTGTGTATTTGGCTTGAAACCAGTGAGTTTTATTTCATTTCCGGCTAAAAAGAGATAAGATTTCAAACGTTGTATATCTAATACAAATATTCTCGATAAAGAATATCTATATTACAAAAAGGAATGAAAACCCAGGGTTCTAATAATTACAAAACAATTAATACAATTAATACAATGAATATAAAAAGAGACTAAGGGCCTATCTTGATCCGTTGTTGTACACTTGACGGGACTTGCTTGACTTGACAGAACTTGACGGGACTTGCGGAACTTGACGGGACTTGCTTGACTTGATGAAGGGAAACTTGGAGACTTGAAGACTTGACTTGACTTGACGACGCTCTCAATACTTTGAACAGTGAGAGCAAGACAACTGGACGAAAAAGGGGTCCAAAAGGATATGTCTATACCCCTTCTCTAGCTGTCAGTTGATGAATGCAAACTGTCCAGTTAAGCACTCGTGTCCTTTGTTCCTAGAGCAGGACAGAGGATGAATACATGAATATGGCAGGTTCAGTTGGAGGGTTACAGAAGACAGTTTAAACAGTGAAGCTGGGTGCTTCCAACTACCTGTCTCTGCTAATTGCAGTTCAGTGGTCAAGTCAATATAAATATTAACTTCATAAAATACTAAGTAAATGGAATCTACAAATAAGCAAAAGTGAAAGTCCCTTTAAACAATAGGCTGTGTGTAACGTTGTCATGGTCACCAGTGCTGGTCAATGCCCTCTACCACTAGTGCGCATATGTACGTACATGCACATGTACATGTAGGTTGGTCTTACCCAGAAGTGAGTAAGGTACCCCAAGGACATTATACCAAGACCAATGCCTCAGGCATGACAAGGTTACACCTGTTGCATCATAACACTTAAAACAATTCAGGGAATACAAATGACTCATAATAAGAAAGTAAAAGTTGACCAGGATGAAAAATACCAAGATCCTGAATAATCAAATTAATCCTAAAACAAAAAGGAATATAGAAGATGAAAACTTGGATATAGAGAAAATAAAGAAAAAGGCTAGCTACTGAAACAAACTAAACTAAGATAAAACTTAAAAGGCTATACTAGATATATCAAGTAAAATGAATACACTTGTCAAATAAACAAAGAGAACTGTTACAAATTCACAGAATTTGTACTAAGGAAATTATTCCTCTTTTCACTCTAGTCAAAAGTAACTGGGAACGATTATAAGATAGCTGATTGTCTTTTGGAATATGCCAAAAAGTTAACTGAACAATCAGTGGATGCCTATAATAATAAATCATGTTTTTGTACATGTAGTCCTACAAACTCTTCTTTCTTAAATAAAGTTCCACTTTATTTAGACTAGAGTCGCCACAAGTCTTTTGTACAAAAATGGCAAATCTTAGTACATAAACTTTCAGATCAATCAAAGAAAATCAAAGATAACTCAAACCGTTTAGGTAATTGATGAATTTGGAATTTGTTCTACTTTCAGAGAACATGGTTACTTCTCACATCAAGTTATGTGAAAATTAATGCATCAAACATCCAAAAGAAAATAGTGCTTGCTTCAAGAAATGACAGCAACGAAGCAATAAAAATGTCAACTGCAGTAAGAACTTCTCAAGTGGAAATTGGCCAAAGTTGGAATGTCCAAGAACTTAATATTCATCTATCAAGCTTAACATTACTTTCAACTCAAAATACAGTGATGGCATGAAAGGAACATAATAGTAATAATAACAACATGTGACGACTCGGTCTAAACTTTGAGTAAAGAATAAACACTTTAACCTAGGAGTAAAAGTAAGATAAAAGTATTATCAAACTCACCTAGAGCAGGACAGAGGATGAATATGGCAGGTTCAGTTGGAGGGTTACAGAAGACAGTTTAAACAGTGAAGCTGGGTGCTTCCAACTACCTGTCTCTGCTAATTGCAGTTCAGTGGTCAAGTGAAGGGAAAGTTCACTGGCCACCGAATTTATACAGTTCCTCCTCAAGGACTTTTGTGGTTGGTTGCAAGTTCTGCTACCAACCGCCCACACGCGCTGCCAAGCAACCCACACACTTCTAAGAAAGTGAATGACCTAAGTCTGGGGGAGTTAGGAATTCGAAAAAATGGGGGGGCACAAAATTCATCCTATTACATATGCAAATATGACAGAAAACATAATGGTAAGAACATTGGAAAACGATTCGTTTGTGAGACCTGTATGCAAGCCTTTTTCGGAGATATCTTCTTCATGCATATAACATTGCATGTCATAAGTTACATTTATATACATGGTTCTAATTTTAGTTGTACTTTTACAAGGAGTCACCGTGGACAGTTGATATCCTTTCAAAAGTCTGGAATACGGTAAGTCATAAAAACTTGCACAATCCATGACGTGAAATAATAGCTATGACAGCCTAACTGTATATCTGTTTACGTATATCTGTTAATGCATATTGTGCTCTGTGCTTGTTCAATTCACCTTTGAGATCCTTTTTGGTGCTCCGTATGAACTTGCTGAAAAGGGGTAACTTCCCTCGTCTGTAGAGCAGGGCTCCGAATAAAATGATGTCTAAGAACAGGTGCGGATCCTGGGATTTTTTTAGACAGGGGGCACACTGTTGGAGCAAAATTATTTGCTCCGAGAATTAATGCGAGCGCGGAGCGCGAAGCCCTTACGGCGTGGGGTCCGGGGCCCGCTTAAGGGCCCCGGAAAATTTTGGATTCTAGATGCTCTGTGGTGCAATCTGAGGCGATTCCTGGCTCCTTTCCCCTGAATTAGTTGAGCACAAGTGTTTAAGATTTTAAGGATTTTTGTAAAACATACTCTTACTTTTACAATTTTGAAGTTACTGTGTGCTTGAAAGTCGAAAACCATTTTACGTCTTTATATTTTCTTGCTTTTTATTTTGGAAAAGGAATTGTATTGACTTCGTTTTGTAAACTGTTGCAACGATGTGTTGTGGCATTTGCTCCGAGGACTAATGCGAGTGCGGATCACGCCTGTCTTACGGCGTGGGATCCAGGGCCCGCTTAAGGGCCCCGGAAAATTTAGAATTCTAGATGCTCTGTGGTGTATTCTGAGGGTATTCCTGGCCCCATTTCCCCTGAGTTATTTGAGCAAAACGTTTTAAGATTATAAGGATGTTTTTCATTGGTTTATAATATACTCTTGCGTTTACAAGCCTTTTCAGTTTCTTCTGTTCTTCACTTGTATAACCAAACATTTTCGTCTGCATAGTTATTTCCGTGCTTTTTTTGAAAAAGAATTGTATCTTGCAAGGATGAGTATAGGGCATCTTTCCGAAGACCAATGCGGAGCGCGATCATCTTTCGGCGTGGGGTCCGGAGCCCGCTTAAGGGCCCCGGAAAATTTAGAATTCTAGATGCTCTGTGGTGTATTCTGAGGGTATTCCTGGCCCCATTTCCCCTGAGTTATTTGAGCAAAACGTTTTAAGATTATAAGGATGTTTTTCATTGGTTTATAATATACTCTTGCGTTTACAAGCCTTTTCAGTTTCTTCTGTTCTTCACTTGTATAACCAAACATTTTCGTCTGCATAGTTATTTCCGTGCTTTTTTTGAAAAAGAATTGTATCTTGCAAGGATGAGTATAGGGCATCTTTCCGAAGACCAATGCGGAGCGCGATCATCTTTCGGCGTGGGGTCCGGAGCCCGCTTAAGGGCCCCGGGAAATTTTGGATTCTAGATGCTCTGTGGTGCAATCTGAGGCAATTCCTGGCCCCTCTTCCCCGGAGTTATTTGAGTAAATTGTTTTAAGATTACACGATTTTTTTCATTGATTAAAATATAATCTTGCTTTTACAAGCCTTCTCAGTTTCTTCTGTTCTTCACTTGATACCATGTATTTTCGTCTGCATGTCTTCGTGCATTATATTTTTTGAAAAAGGAATTGTAAAAACTTAGTTTGTAAACTGGTGTAAGGATGCATTCTAATGTTTTGTTTCAAGTTGAAATTTTCAGTTAACCAACAAGAAAAAACCGCTTGAACATGTTAATTGAATTCAAGTTTAAAATTAGTGTAATTTAATCAAACTAAAACAGAGGAGCAATTAGCCTGCATTGTAACTTCACAGCTCAGTTTTATCTCATGACTACAGAAATTAATCATACGGTCATCCAAGTTTCTCCCTCTTTTTTTTTGCATGATGTAAAATGCCCAAACATTTTAAAGAAATGTTCTTTTAATTCAGTCCAGTTTCAATTTCAAGAACAGGGCCTATTACACGTGCATGTATTTGTAAATAAACCATCGGCAGATCGACGGTGCAGCAAGACAATAATTGTGTGAGACACTGCGTCTGGTCTTTACATTATAATAGACATCGGGTCTTTCGGCGCCATGATTGCAATTTCCACATGGTACAATTTTGAAGGTGGATTCGTCATTTAGTTATGTAAAAAAAATTACAGTAAATAATTGTTGATGGTAACGTTGACAAATAGACATCGGGAATAGGTGTATACCTCCCGGTCCGGCACGGATGCCGGCCCGCGTCGCCACCGGCGAACTACGATCAAATTTATCTCGCTTGCCATTCAAAAAGCAACACACTTGCGTTCCGTCTAGCTTGCAAGAGCATGTCTCGAGTGCTAAAACTTGCCTTTGGGCAATAACTGCTGATTGTTTTTGACCTCAGACAAACAGATCTCTTTTATGTACCAAACTTATCAGATTTGTTTTTTCTGCAACGCGTAGTAATGTCAAAACCCAACTTTTGGATCTCAACTTTCTTCGTTAAAAAAACGTTTTATGGACGGATCCATAACCTTCAGGGGTGTTTCAATTTTTTCAGGGTTTTACATCGTTTCTCGAATAAAGTCTTTACGAAAATTATATGATGACGTGACGTTGAAGAAGTCAATTTAAAACAAGGACATGTTTTGGACTCCGTGAAAAAAAGTATAATTTGTAATTAAAAAGCGCGTGGAACTGCT